TTTCTACTAAATAGAGGTGATACCTGTCGGGAAGTGCTGGCCAGTTTTCAGAGCTGTCTGATCTGAATGAAAACCTTCGTGCTGAATGGCAGTCCAAATCTAAAAAGCCCTTCAAAGACCTCAAACTGATGGGATTTTCTGAAAAAAAAATGAAATACAGGCCACAAAGTGAAAGAATTGATTTTTAAGCCAAATTTATTTCTCTGCAAGGAATTTAGCATAGAAGCAGCTTTGAGAGAAATATTTGGATGAAATTAAAAAAAAGTATTTCTTATGGGGAAGTTTCAAATAAATGTAAATTAGTACATTACTACTACTCATTTTCAAACAAACATTTCAACATGGACAAAGAGCTTTTTTTTTGTTAGAAGCGCAGTTCCTAGGGCTGATCCCCAGGTTGACATTTATAATCGCCCTTTACACCTGCATCTACACACAGAATAATTGCAGTTAAGTTGTATTTCTTTGACTGGAAACTATCTGCACAAAAGCAGTGACCCATAAATTAAATACCTACGGAAGGAATACAAGGAATACTGAATATTGCTATGCTCCCTTAGAGATGACAGGTATTAGTGGCACATAATTTGGATTTTATTTTTTTTTCCTAGCATCTGGCCAAAATGAACATACAAAAATCATGCAAAGCATCTCCATGGGTACATCAGTAGGAGTAAAGAGCTAAATGTGTAATGACAGAGTGTGCAAAGAAAAAGAAAAAAAGAAAAAAAAAAAGCCATTGGATTTCAGCACCTGGCTGTTTTACAGGAAAGTGGTTTGTAGGAAGCACATACTCAGGAATAACTCCTGTTCCTGATCGTTGACTGCACTACTCTTTGCAGAGAGGCAAAACAGACCTTCCTTAAACTCAAGTTTTCACACCTCCTGAAAAGGAAAAAAAAAAAAAAAACAACACTGATAATTCACTGGGGTGTCTATTGCCTTTCAGTCACAGGTTTTGTTCAAAGCACTTCCCATCCTCCTTAGGAGCTCACTCTGCCAAGGAAGCCCACCAGCCACCCTGGAGTACACTAAACCGTGGTACAGAAGCACAGGGAACACCCTTGGCCAGCCAGCACAGGAGGTAATTACAGACACTGGGATTTGACCGAAGCACTGCAAGATGAAATATTTTTCATTAAAAAGTACCACAGGATCTCTAATGCCCACAAGTGGTTAGGAGCTGGTTTCCCATCCCATCTGATCTGTCTAGTTTAGCTGCTTGATATGATTAACACACTAGAAGTTGTGAGGTGTAATTTTCCCCAACACTTCTTCAAAAAAGCAAAATATTTCTTACCCTTTGCTGGAGGGAAAATTATGTAGGGAGGCACATCAGGAGTTTCTGGTAGAATAAATAACTGAATCTGGCTGCATCCCAAGCCACTTATCCCTAGAGCACCTTTATCCATCCCCCAAGACGCCACCAGCACTCATCATGCCTTCAATCCATGGGCCAACCTTCTCCATCCCCCAAGACACCACCAGCACCATCAACGCCTTTAATCCATGGGCCAACTTTTTCCATCCCCAAGATGCCACCAGCACCATCAACACCTTTAACCCATGGGCCAACCTCCTCCATCCCCAAGATGCCACCAGCACCCATCATGCCTTAAATCCATGGGCCAACCCTCTCCATCCCCACGATGCCACCAGCACCCATCATGCCTTAAATCCATGGGCCAACCCTCTCCATCCCCACGATGCCACCAGCACCCATCATGCCTTTAATCCATGGGCCAACCCTCTCCATCCCCACGATGCCACCAGCACCCATCAAGCCTTGTTTCCAAGGGCTCTAGTTCCTTTACACCAAGTATAGTCAGGGGTAAATTTTTCTTTTCCATAGCTCTGCATTTTTATCCTATTTATATCTTCACTCCGCAGGGCCAGGCTGTGCTGTGGCCAAGCCAGCAGAATTAGAGGGCATATTTCCACAGCACATTATTCAGTTCCTTCCCATTGGTCTGCACATGTAGCTATGTGAACGAGCGAGGGTTGCAAAAATGTATTTTGCCTGGGGCAGTGAAATAGCTGGGGCCAACCTTGTCATTCTGTTTCACTCACTCTTTTCCTACCCTATCTCTATCTCGCTTTTTTTCTCTTTTCTTTCTCTCTTTGTTGTCTTGGTTACATGGGCAGATTCCTGATATGCTGCTAGTTCTCATTTCAATGATATGTTCCTGTAAAGCACAATATTTTACTTCAGTTGTGCTTGCCACTGGATAAATTCCTTTGACATAAGTGACATTTGTATATCAACTAACACATATTGCTTTATGACTGTGGATATTTTGCAGAATATTCACAGGTTGCATGCATCAAAATCTGATGTACAGTCTGCATCTTTTGTATAAAAATACACACAGAGAGAAAAAGACTGAAACTGCAGGAAAAATAAGGAAAGTTTCTCCAAAACCATCTTGTAATTACTTGTAGTGAGTTTTGCAACAGCTGAGTAAATCCTGCTATCTTGAAGATAATCTAGCAACTCCCCTCTTCATGCTATCCAAAATATTTCACTGTAGTTTGACTGAGTAGCTGCACAGCACCAGGAGAATCAGCAGTGTGTACCATGCGTGGTAGGACCCAGCAAGGAGAAAAAAAAAAAAAAAAAAAAGACAGCTCCTGGGCCTTGTCCACTAGCACATGGAGTTTCATCTAATCCTACAAAGCTTATTCCAATTTACCCACAGGCATTTTTTAAAACATAAATCAAACTTCACGCTAACATAATATATTACACTGGAGTTGCAATACCAATAGCATCTTTCCCTTGCTTCCTATTCAAAAGCAGCTGATTGATGAGCCGAGATGGAAAACAAAGCTTCAAAAGGTCCGTGAAGTCTAGGCAGGGATCAAGGAGTGTCAAGTGAGAATACTGAGTGCCAAAGTGGCCCTGTGTGGCACCCAGAGGGGACAGCAGGCTGGTGGCCCAAGCTCCGAAACCCTCCTGGGAGGAGGTCAGCGTGTGGAGGAGAGTCAATGATTGCAAAAGTCATAGCAAGAATGGGGTTGAACCTGCAAGAACTGGAATTTTCCAGGAACCTGGATCAACCGGTCCAAAACAACCACAAGTGTTCACAAGAGCCCCGTTTACTGCCTCTATGGTGGAGACTTATTCAGCCGAGGAAGATCTCAGCCCAAGACCCCAGCTCTGCTCTGACACAAGGACACAATGCACCAACTACTGTAGGCAATTCAGCACACTGGGAAAAATGGAATAAAATGAAGTTTCCTCAAATTACATCAGCCTATTCTGCTCCCCTCTTGTCATTCTTTACCCTATAAGGCTGTCCCTGCTCTCTACCACACTAAAAATCTCTCTCACTCCTCTTCTCCCCTATTAAATCAATCAGATCTTGGATTCTGCAACGTGACCTGCAAAGGCAGAGCTGTCTCTGAGTTTGCTTCTCCTGAAGCCAAAAGAAAAACCAAAAGCTTGTGAGCGCAGGGAAGCAGCAGTCATTCTTAACCGTTTAGGTCTTTTGGATATTTACCATTCAGCTCTCAGCTATCCTATTTTTCCCCCCCAAGAGACTGAGTGGAGAACTGAACAGTTTATTATGATATCACAGATGACAGGGAAGCAAAACCTAATTAGTCAGGGGAGGAGATTATTTTTATTACAACTGTTTAAAAAACAATTTGGCTCCTTTTCCACAGGCCTGAATAGACTGTTACCAAAAAAAAAAAAAAAAAAAAATCATTTTCAAAAGCATCAGCAGCCTTTCCTCTGTTGAACAAAGCCTGAGACCTTTGCCAGCAGGCAGGATGCTGTTCCCCTTGCAGAGCTCCCTCAGCACAGGGGCAATGCCATCTGAATTTGCTTCATTTTAAGTGACAAAACAGGTAGAGGAACAAAACCAGATATTTCAGACCTTCCTTAAGCATCAGTGAACAAAGGACTCCCTTCCTTCCCCCCGTCTGCTTTGTCCATCTTATACACAAACCATAGTGCGTCACCTTTTCATAGCACCTTCCTCTCCCAAACTTGGAAGTTATTGCTTGCAGAAAGAGTTCAAAGAGGAATCAACTCCCAACCCAAGCCCCAAGGCTCTGCCGCACCTCATTTCCCAGCTTCTCACCCATCTCCATCATTATGGCAAAGCCACAATCTCCTTGTACATCCAATATTTTGCAACACCCCTGAACTAAGCATTCAGAAAATCATTGTCTGACCAACACGTAGGGGTTTAAACAGAGGAAATGCACCATCATTAGCACGAGAAGATCACTTCTAATAACTCTTGTTTCCTTGAGAAAACCCCAGGTAGCTGATTCCCAGCTTCCACCTCTCAAGACTCTCTACTATTGCCTTACATGGCAAACTACAGAGCTACAGCCGTGCAACAGGCGTATTTTGAGTGAGAACGCACAGTGAGGAACATAAATACACTCTTTATTGTATTCAGGGTTATGTGGCGTCAACCACAAACATAACGCTCGTTATCATCCAAGACAGAGCTTGTCTCTTCCTTCAGCACAAGCACCCAGCCTGACCTAAACAGAGCGACCGCTAATCCCATGCTGGGCTCGTGGTGAAATCACAGTCCAGTCACATTGCTCTGAAGAAAGAGCTCCAGAGTATGAATCCTCTTTCTTAACAAACTTCAGTCACAATAATTTTTTTCTCCAGCATGCACAGATACCCTGTGACCAACTACTTTAATTAGAGATGGTTTGAACACACACACACAAAAAAAAACAGTTGGATTTAAACTGCATCAAGTCCGTCTGTGGCTGGGTCTGCAGTTTGACTTCAGAAACATTCACTTGCTAATGAACAACAATTTGGAGAAAGAATTTTCTCCTTTCTCCCATCAGCTCTAACCTTCGAGGGTGAAACACAATTTTTTTGCCAACCAAAACAACGTTTGCTACCCTCAAAATACATGATGCACCTTAGGATAAGGACAGCACTCACACTCAATGCAACGCCGCAAATCTCCATAAGAACGTGAAAATATGAGTTAAAGAACCACGTCACGTCTTACCTTCTTGAGCTTCCCACTCTTGGTGCCCACAAAAGCCAGGGAGTGGTTCTTGTAGACGTAGGCAATCACAGACGTCATTCTGTCTCCATCCTCGGTGAAAATGGGGAGCCCTCGTACCATGGATGATACTCCCAAGGGGGCATTCATATCCAAGCCACAGAAATTGTCATCAATTGTTAACAGCTATAAACAAAAAAAAAAAAAAAGAAAGAGTTTTAAAAAAATGAAACCGCTGATTCTTTAGCCATTTGGGAAGTATCCATCCAAGCAGGGACATCATTGCATAACAAGCCTATAATTTATGCAGGCTGACAAATCAATGACAAAGGCAAGACTGGAGAAACACAAAAGTGGAAAAAAATTTGTCCAAAAGTTGCATGATGAGCTACAGACAGAAGAACTGGAAACTTGCTTCTCTTGAATGACAGCCCAGCAGGATACTTTGTGTTAAGCCTTTTTCCTACTGCTTTACCAGTCAGTTTTACCAGTCAAGATCCAGCAATCAAAGACAAACTCTGCTGAAAATGTCTTAAACACATCTAGTTCTGTCAAAAAAAAAAAAAAAAAAAATGCACATCATTCCCATGGGATCCAGAATGAGAACCACTGAGCTAAAACTGCACTGGCAAATAAAATAGACCCTGGCCTGCCCTAAGACCCAATAGTAAGGCTCACATCTATGAAACCTAAATAACCATTCCCCTCCCAGCTCCAAACCCTGCAGCATCACTCCTGCTACATCTTGGAAATTCCTCCAAATGACATCCTGGCATTGTCTAGGAGAGAGCTGGTCATCCTACACCAAATCTGCAGGAGGGACCATGCTAAGGGTAAAACACTATAGACAATGACTGCAAACACTCCCTGGGATTCATTTAATAATTTCCAGGGATTAATTTAATCATATAGTCCTGGGTCCTTCTCTCACATTGTTTGGCCTGGGCACTTCATCCTCCTGGGTCTCCATTTCTTCCCCATAAAATGGAGATTATCCACATTTACCCATCTTACTGGGGTACTGTAACTCCCTGAAGTTCTTTGGAAAGACGGGAAGGTTTCACAGCTATTACAGGAGCTTTCCAACGTTTGTTGGAGATATCCATGATACCCTAACAACCAGAGAAAAGGTCCTGTTCATTAGTTCTGCTGCCTAAGCTCTACCGCCTATTGCATTTGAACTCAACGGGCTTATCATCACACAGATGCTCCACTGGGATGCTTGAATCCCAGTCCAGGCAACTCTGCTACCTAAGGCACCATCTGGACAGGAGGTGAGGCTCACACAGCTTGCCAATATGATGACCTCCACAGAATAAGTCAAATAAAGATGAAGCTCCAAATATCACAGCAGACAATTGCCAAAGCAGTTAGACTTTATTGACTTCACTAGGACCACTCACAGATTCAAAGTTAACCGCCTGCTTAAAATGTTTTGCTGGACTAAGGCCTAGAAAGGCAATAACTAATTGTACAGGAAGATTGCTTAATTTTCATATATCTTTAATAAAGGACCATGACAATTTTTTTTGGTCTGAACTCACAGCTTCCTGGAAGCACAGCTAGAATATATGCTGCTCCTTGCTTGAGTTCACGAGCAGTAAAAGCCTGATAGTTGATTCATTTTATCCTCACCCAGCAATTATAGGGAATAATTACAGATGGCTTTACTGAATGGAAGAATAATGTGTCCTAAATGTATTTATAAACACATAAAACCTATGAGGACTTCAAACAGCTATTAGTAAGGAACAACTAGCCTGAGCTCTGGCCTGCAAGAGTCATTAGTGTTTGTGGATTGCCCTTTCAGAGCTAAAACACCAGCTCAAAGAGCAATTACAGATCAGATCAGCAGCCTCCATGAGCTGCAGACGGGATGTTGCTAGTCTACAATGCCAGCACAAAGTCCAAGATAAACCTGCATCCCAGATCCAAAGGCCAAATCCATCTGAGGTCTGGTACCACCATGTTGATGGCCACACTGGAGAGGCAGGACAACCCCGCTGACAGCATCACTTGGGGATAATGAGAACATGTACAGTTTCATTACAGGGGTCAGGATGGAAAAACTGCAGCTTGATTACTCTGGAAGTATAAACTTGTTTGAAGCAGCAACGCTACCCAGACCTTTCTGCAAGACATGAGACATCATTGACTGTCAGAGTTTAGCTACCAAGAGGAGTAATGTGTTGGTTTGATGCCATGTGACAAGACTTCACCAATTCACTACCCATACCCAACACATCCCCTGGTGTGGGATCCATCTCACCTAGCTTTAGCCATGTGAAATCTTAGTAAGTAGCCAACAGTGGTCATCTAGGCTACCTCCATAATCAATGGAGGAAAGGAGTTATGTCAGACAACAAGCCAACCAAACACCCTTGTCATGCACTGGATGACCTCCTGGTAGAGCCAGTGGATTGAAAAAGGACTCCAGAGGATTCACTTAGGCCAAGCATCTGACATTAAGATGTAGCATGCTTTGAACAGGAGGCTGGACCATATGATCTTTTGAGGTCCTTTCAAACCCAACTAAACCTACAGACCATAGAAGGGTTTGGGTTGGAAGGGACCTTAAAGATCATCAAGTTCCACCCCCTGCCATGGGCAGGGACACCTCCCACTAGCCCAGGTTGCCCAAAGCCTCATCCAGATGTAAGATATGAGAAGAATACAGATCTTGAAGTCAGGCCCACTTTGACCAAAAACTCTGAAGCTCTCAAATTAACATGATCTGTGTTTCAACAGATGTATGTGTCTCACTCAAACTGATGGCCTGTCAGGCTGAGAGAAGAATCCTTTCAGACTGAAAGCAAGAAACTCCCAAACCTTCTACAAATGGTAGAAAGAGGGGCCAGGGAAGAAAGTCCTGCTTTGTCACAGTTTTAAAGGAAAACAAAAAATAGGAAACAACTTTCTTGACCACCAAGAGGATTAAAAAAACTCAACAGGGACATAAGATTTCTTACCAGTGTTACCAGTGGATGAAACTCCATCTCAAACAACAGGAAACCACACTGACAAGCAGTGAAACGATAGCAATCCAGCCAAGCTATCACAGTCCAAGGCTTCCTCCTTGGTGCAGCACAGCCTTCCACATGCTCCCATCTCTGCAGCACAGCCAAAACCAGCTACTTCAACTGAAGGACTTGGAAACAAAAAAGGACCCAGATAATCATCTGGAATGCCTTCCTGCATGACCCAGGACCTTGACTCTCAGGCAGGAGCCACCTGGGCTCTTTTACAGGGAGAGAGAAGCTATTGTTATTTGCTTCCCAGGTTGGTCTCAGTCTGCATAGCTGTAAGGATTGTAGAACAGTTTGGAAGAGACCTTAAGGACCATTGAGTTCCAACCCCCACCACAGGCAGGGACACCTTCCACTAGACCAGGCTGGATACAGCTCTGAGCTCTCTATAACCTACTCTATCAACAGCCAGAATGCATTACACAGACTACACAATTGCTGCAGATGTATATCAGAGCTCACACAGCCAGAACAAACTCTCACCTGCCTGCAAAACCCTAAGAGGATATAGACCCACAAGTCCCAGAATCAACTACAACAACCTGTGGCTGACCTGCAGCACAGCTGCCACCTGTTGAGACTTAATTAACCCAATTGCCACAGGTTAGCTCCTCCTCCTCCATCAGACTGGGCCTGGCTCCAGCTGAACTCAGACCTACCCTTAACGGGATCAATATCATGATTTTCCCCCATAAAGTAACTTTAAACCCATTTGTTTCATCCTACTTCCCTGAGATAATTTGCAGAAGAAAAGATGCAAGCAACCAGGGCAAGTCTGAAAAGTGAAATTGGCACTTTCTCTTATGTGACACCGTTCAGATGAGATTTAGGACCATCACAGCACATCCTAGCCTCTGAGACATGCAAAGTGGTGTGTGAGGGAAGGTAAAGCCATGAATGTTCGCTCGTACGCTGTTGTGCGGGTGCTGGAGAAGCAGAGTTGGGGTTTACAATGCCTACAACCATCCCTCAAGAACAGGAGCAAGGCCAGCAAGCCACACATCGCATGAAAACTATTTTCATTTTACACATTTGGGTTATTTCTTCTGGGGCTCATCTGCAAAAAAGAAATGCCAGCAAGCAAAACCCTACAAATAAACATCACCCAGCTTCTGTGCAGCTGTGCCTCTCAGCTGTGCCTTTGTACAGACAGAAATGCCGTCGTCTTCTTCAGCAAAGAGAAACACGTAAGGAAGTTGGGATTTATGATGAAAGGGTCGGGAGTTGCAAGCACAGGTTTATTTTCAATTCCAGACACTCGTAGCAGCAATATAAAGTCACCACGTTAAACTCTCAGGAGCTTCTCTTGCTTGGCAATTTCACGTTAACGGCTTTCCAGAATGAAAACGGAGGAGAGGATGGGAATTCACTCTGCTTGCAGCACCGCTGCCGCACCAGCTGGGATAGCAGGGAGGGGCAAAGGGAAGATCTAAAGAGGCAGGAGTAGGATCAGCAATTCTTGCATCTAACCCAGAAATTCACATAGGTAAATCAAAACGGAAGGCACTGTGGTTGAGATGCTGGACCAGAGTCAATCAGTTCCTCATCCCACATCACATTCCCACCTGCAAAAGAGGGAATCCTCCTCCCCACGCCTCTGCCCCAGGGAAGCTGCTAAACACAGTTTTGTAAGATGCTCTGCATATCCGAAATATCTTCATGGGAGAATGATTGGCAGCTCCCAGGGCATAAATGTCCTCCTGAGTCCCACCAGCTGCCTCTCCACCTTGGGTTGATGTGCAGGGAGGGGGGAAGCCAGCTGGTGAGAGGCTGTGGTCTGCTCCTGCCATCGCTCCCTGCGTCGGCAACCAGAGGGTTCATCTGCAGCCCTGACACCGGGGCCAAGTGTCACATTCACCAGTGAAATAGGAAGGATGTGCAAAAGAATGAGCCTGATTTACAGGAGGATCCTGGCAGGCATCTGCCTTCTCCAGGATTAAGACTATCAAATAAATAATTAACACATTCAAGCCCTTCTGGAGAGGACGGGTTCACAAGGCTGGTGCTGGCTCACGCTCCTAGGGATTTGCTGAGCCCCGAAAAACTCCCAATCTCAGAAGAAGGGTTAGAGGTCTGATTACAACCTCTCCTTCCCCAACCTCATCCGATTCCCCTGCAGAAGAGACCACTTTGGTGCTGCACGAAGAGCTAAAGCACCAA